AGGAGAGGCTCCTGAGGGAGAGGGGGGGGGGGGGGGTGAGGGGAGAGGGGGTTGAGGGGCGGGCGAGCGGGGCGGGGCGAGGGGCAGGGCGAGGGGCAAAGTGGGGTCGGGCGGGGAGGGAGGGGGGAGGGGATGTTGGGAGGGAGGGGGGGGGGTGCCTGTGTTAAGCGGGGGTGGGTGGCGGCCTCTGCACGGCGGAGGAGACGCAGCCTCTCCCCCGCCCATGTCTATTGTAGGGTAGGGTTCGGGTCTGTTGTAGGGTAGGGGAGGAGGCGCAGCCTCTCTCCCGCCCATGTCCCGCGCCTCCCCTTCCTCTCGGCTGCCTCTCGGCTGCGTCTCGGCTAGTGTGACCCTCTGCACGGTGGAGAGGACGTAGTCGTGCGGGAGGAGGGGGTAGCGGACGAGGCGGAGCAGCTCGGCCTGCTCCTCGTGCGTGGTGTGCTCCTGCGCCCCCACCCACCGCACCACCGCCTGCAGGCGAGTCACTCGTCACTGAGTCGGTTGACGCACACAGCAGCCTCCACCCCACCGCTCCGCCGCCTCAAAGACGCGCTGCTCCTCCTGTGCGATCAGCTTGTCGTCCGAGACGAGCTGACGGACGAAGGGGAGGGGCATCCCGCTGAAGCCGGCAGAGGTGGAGACCTGCTCGAACGACCGGAGCGCCATCTGCATCGCCGTCGCCGACAGCTTCTCGAGCGTGTACGTGTCTGCCACTTTCCAAGCCTCGAGGCAGTTTGACGCGTCCACGCGCCGCGCGACCAGCTCCTGCAGCGAGCGGAGCAGCGGCTCGATCTGGAGGTAGTGCGCCGCCTCGAGCATCGAGATCAGGTCGCTCTCGTTCGTCATGCAGCTCCCCGTGTAGATGTACTCGAGGATGTTTGCGAACGTGTGTGCGCCCGGCACCTGAGAGAGCTTCACCGGCTGCTCCTGGTCCGCCCACTTTGGGCCGGCAAAGAGCTTGTCCAGGTAGTCCGACGCCGCCGCCAACACGTTGCGGTGGGCCGCGTATGACTTGCCGTCCACTATGATTGTCACGTCGGTAAGCTTCGCCTCCCGAAAGTACTGCACCATCCGCGCTGGCTGCGCGTGGCCGCCCGTGAGCTCGAGCGGCGCACGCGAGGTGTTGAGCGACGCCAGCGTCGACTCGTCTAGGCTGCAGGAGCCAGCCGGCCGCGCACGCTTTCGTGTGGCGACCATCGCCCTCCTACCCACCTCTGCCGCACAGAGAAAAGCTGTTGCGTTCGGCTCCTCCCCCGGTTAGGGGGTCTGCTACGGGCGCCACCAGGCTCCGTGCCCCACCTGCCTATCTACCCCAGCCAGCCAGCGGGAGCACCAGCGGCGGGGAGCGCTGCCGTCACGGGTTCGGCTCCATACCCGGATAGGGGGTCTGCAGCTGGCTTGT